AAAACAAGATAGCTTGGTTGTTTATGTTTGTATGTGTCCTTTGATCTGTCTACAACCGTCATAGATGTCTATATTTTAGCCCATTTACATTTACATAATGGTATTACTCCTCCAAGGGAGCATACCATTATGACTCGTCTTGTTTTACTTGTCTGTTGGAACAGACTGCATGTCATACAGCAGGGTTTGTTAACAACTGTTGATGACATGGCAACATGGTATTCTCAAATGTGCATTGCCTCTTAAGTGTTGATAAGTTGAATAAATTATCGCATGACTAAGTTCAGCCTTGGCATAAAATATTTGAAGAGGCATGGGCTGTACCTACAAAATAAACTGAATAATTATGGTTGGTAGCGTTCGACTCTCCTATTAAACCTAACATAATGTTTATTTTATTTATTTTTTTAAATGTAGCCCTGATAAGTTGACTCAAATGTACCTTTGCACCTAACAGAGGAATCTGCAAAGGGAAGTCAGAAAATAATATATATATTTTTTTTACCATCTTTCACAGCTCTTCCGGCATGCTCCAATCAATCATTTGGTGCTGCCTCCGTTTTAGATCTTACTTCTTGTTAAAGGAGATTTGTGCCCAGGGTGAGGAATGGCTACAAAGTTATTTATTCAAAGCAGCAAGCTTGCCTTGCTGGGTTTGATAGTTACAGGGACAATTAGCAGTGCTCTAGCCATGAACACCTTTGCTTATAGATATTGGAGCTTGGCCTTTTTTTCAGTGTAGTCCTGTTTCTCTGACTGCAACTGGATGGATGTGATCTTTCATTCTCTGTCATGGAAGCTGGCTCGGAGCTCGTCTGCCTTGCTGTGTGTTTCCTGGACGGGGCCGCCTGTGGAGCTGATTGAAAGTTGCCTTTTGTATCTATGCTTCTTTTTCACACCTCTGCTTCTGTCATTGGTTTTCCTCTGATGGAAAATCTGACTGTGTGATCTGGTTGAATTGTCTCTGTAAAATTCCTTGACATGACATGTGTTGTGAATTGACGGTATACAAATAAAAAAGAATTGAATATAATAAACTCAACATCCATCAATCCACCCATCCTGTATGGGTGATCAGTCAATTGCAGGGCAACACAAAGACATATAACCATGCACAGAAAAAATACACTCATATATGTTACAAACTGTTATAAAGATATTAAAAGAACAATTTTTTCGAGTATTTTACTTTTTACACTACGACTTGGAATTATGGGTAATCCAGAAAGTAGATTAAAACCATAACCGTTATGTACAATGTGTTAGTGTCGATGGATACCAAAAAGAAGTACTTAAGCGGATTCCAGAAAAAAAAGCAAAGACTGGAAGAACGGAACAAACTTCCCAAAGTAAATACGTTCTTTCAAAGAACTGAAGAGGGTGAAGTGGACGTTGCTGCTACAGTGAGTAAAGATTGCGACCAGGAGGTGAATAGAGAGAGCGTGAGTGAGGAGGGGGGCTGTGAAGCTCAAGGTAGCCCAATAAGACAAATTTTACAGCGTAATATACTAAAGTATATAAGTATATCCATGTAGTGAAGGTAAAGAATGATGAAATGATAAAGTGTTCATGTATGTGGCACATTTCCGATCGGTTGTCTACGGCAGCAGCGGCATCGGGTGAAGGGGGGGGTGGTGTGGGGGTTTGTGGGGGAGGGGGGTGGTGGGACGAGGTGTTGTACTTCATATGGGGCCAACACAGATAATGTTGTTTACGGGCCTATTGTTGTGTCGTTACGCCATTGGATATAACATTCACCATGTCTCCACCACCAGCTGGCAAACCTCCTCCTCTCACCGTTGCAGAGCCTCTCCTGCTCTCAGGCCGCCGTTGGCCCATCCTGTCTCCTGAGTTGTCAAATTCATCATTTACACTCAGAGCCCATGGCGGAGGCTGACTTAACTGATTTTCTCTCAGTCAGCTGCATGTTGCGACACACATTAAGTGATAGTCACACAGAAACAAAACAAAACTGATATATAAACACAAGCAGACGTGGTAATTACTTCAGTCTTGTTTGTTTCAGTCTCCACCTCTTGTTTGCTTGCCGATATCTTTATGCTCTCAGACAACTTACACCAAAGTGAGAGGTTGAGGAGAGATTACAGCTGAGAAGTATTCCACACCCCTCACTGTAGAAATAGTTCCTTGAAAGTGAATATTTTTATGCTAGGTATTTTCATTGAGAAATCAAAGTGAAATAGAAGGCAGCATATTTGTTAGATAAAACATCCCTAGTTTCTATATATATATATATATATATATATATATATATATATATATATATATATATATATATATATATATATATATATATATATGCAAACTGTTGGCTTAATATTTTTCCCCACTCTTGGTTTATTTACAAAGTGCATCTTTGGGCACCTTGAAAAATCTTTGTGATGTAACACCATCTAACCTTAGTATGTTTTGTTGGGATTTAACATGATAGCCCAAGACTTAGCTTACAAGAGTGGAGTGAGGACACAGCTGTTAAAGGTTTAACAAATAAAACTCTAAAGATTATTCCATGCATTTGTATTCAGCACCCGCTACTCTGCTAGTCCTAAGTGATTTCTAATACAACCATTTGCCATCTGAAATCTCCCCAGTGAAACATTGTGGTGGCAGTATTGTGCTGTAGATATTCTTTTTTGCAGCCATTCAGGAAAGTTGGACACAGTTGGTTAGGCAGCTGGAGTTGAATTCTGGGGAACCTGGATGAAAACCTCTTGGAGAAAGCTAAAGAACGAAGACTTGAGAATGGTAACCATAACGATGATAAACCTACAACATACAGACACAGCTACACTGGAAGTGTTTAGAACAAGGCAAAACAATACGGTTCCTTGTCCTTGACCAGAGTCTGCAACCAGATGATGCATTCCATTTGTACTCAAACATTTGAATTTCCGACTTCTGAGTAAATCAACTAATGCGCCTGAAAGTCAGAATTAAGAGTTAGAAAGTCAGAGCGAGACCATACCCCCTAACTTGCATCAGTAGTGGTAAAGTTTTCATGTTTTCACAGTTTTTTATGAGTTTTATCTTATTTATATGAGATTGAATCATTTATGCACATGCTACCTTCCACTGTTTATGAGACAAGATGTTTTAGAGGTATATACTTGCACAAATGGGGGCAGAACAGTGTTTTTGTCCGTGTTGTAGGAGTGAAATAAACAATAAAGGCGATTTAAAGATTTACTTGCAGTAACAAATTTTACTGAGATAGTCTAAATAGAAATGTACTGCAAACAACAATTTTTTTTTTAAATTTCTTTTATTGTGTCCCCTTCACAAATTTTTTTTTTTTTTCTTAGCTTTTGTTAGTATCAACTGAAATTGAGAACCACAAATCTGTACTTGACAGGCCTTGGTGATGATTGATCTAATGTTGATCTAATTCTGCTGTTTACATTGAGGACAGTGGCAGTCCTAATGCTGAGGTTTACTGTAAACCTAAACATACAAACCAATGTATTTTGACTCACATAATTCACTGAAACGCAAAATTCTTATTACGGTATTAGAACTCTTAGTTACTTGGCTGAAATTATGGCCATAATTGTAGAGAAGAAATAAAAAGAACATGAGCATGTCAACTAATCACTTGAAGCACATGGTGATCTATCTGGGTGATTGCTAAGTCTCCGAAAAGAACTAGCAGGATGAATAATACTGAAAAATAAGTCACATACCAGCAAAAAGAAGACAACAGACAATCAAAGTAAAGTAAAAAAAAAAAGCATCAAGAGCAGCAGTTATCCTTTATGTGTGTCCGAATCAGAAGCTACAGTGATTCTACAATATTATTCAGGGTGGTATACTGTATATCTGTATCTGCAGCTTAGTATTTAGTATTGCTGTGTATCCGTTAACACCTGGAACCAAACTCCTGTGGTTTCTATGCATGGTCATGATCATTCATAAAGGATTTGTAAAGCTCCTTGGGAAGGAAAACATGATTAACAGCAGGTGTGGGCAGCCCCAGATACCCTACAGGGCCCAGGACCGATGAAGAGGCGATCCCTGAGGCAGTCAAAAGGTCCATTGTTCAACAGTTTAGGTGTTTACCGACTATAACCCTCTGGTATTACTTAGGGCTTCGGGCATGTGGTGGGCGGTATGTGGGCTAGGTACAGTATTAGAGACACTGTACATTCCTGCCTATAGTCTGCCACCTTTTTGATAGGCTAGGAAGGTCTTTTAATTTGTTTGATCTGGCCCTTTAGCTTTAAGTGGTTTTAATTTTTTCAATGTTTATTTTATTTGTTTGCCACAACCATCTGTCCCTTCCTCCCCCACAGGTTAAAATAAACATAATTTAAATCATTTTGAATTGTGCTATATTCATTCCTTGGTTGTTGGTGTTTTACACCACTTTAGGGTTTGTAACAACACTCATTAATATTTAATTGTCCCGACACATAACGCATACCCAACCAAGGAAAATTCAAAAACCCAGAAGAAAGATTTTGGACTTTGCATGATTGTTTTACTGACAATCTGTTAAAGAGATAATTGTCCCTTTTTAAAACAATGTTAAGAGCTATTTTTGTTTATAACTGGTCTGTTCCTTTAATATAAAAATGCTTCCAGTTTATTCAATTCATTTTAAGATTTACAGTTAGATCAGCATATTAAATCCAAGAAAATCAAGCTGTACAATTATTTTTTTAATTTAAAAAATTATTATCTGATTCATTTCATCAGCTTGTATACAAATAAAGACATTTACGGCATGGTTGAATGGGCCATTTACTTGTAGCTACAGATTAAATTGTTATCTGAAGGAAAAACGCAGCAGATTTCCCACAAATTCTTCAAGGCCCAAATCATAAGAGTAATTTCAATGGCTTTGTCACGTAGCCATTATGAAATAACTAACTTTAGTTCACACTGACCTATCACAGTTCTATTCTAAAATAAAATAAAAGGAAATATATAAAGTCTCTTTTGTGTATTTAAAATTCTCCTGCCTTTGTGTTTGTCTTCAGGTGTAGCAAGATGCTTGGTGGATTGTCTTTGAATGGACTGAAGTTCTTGCTGGCCCTGATAATTCTCCAAGTGGCAGGTTCAGGTGAGTGCTTATTTCCTAGGTTTGAAATGGCGTTTACATTTTCAGGTTTGTGTTTTGTATCTTGCCAATAACTGAGCTGTCCAAATTTGAACACATGTACCAAATCTTTGAGCAAATTGTGTTCATGTTAAGGGTGAAAAGCTGAACGGCGAGGTGTCCAAAATGTCACTGCTGTTCTTCCTGGATTCTCTATTTGCCTGGAGATTCAGTAGAGGGACCGAGCCTTGAATGGTGTTCTTCTGAGTAATAAAAGAAAACTATTCAAATATTGACAAATCTGTGTGAATCAACATTTCCTATGGCAACCAAAGTGGTAAACTGTTTAAACCCTTTTTTGTCAAGGTCAAAGTTTTTCTCCCGCCTTATAACTGCAACGCATCCCCAACTTGTAAGAGATTTGGAGTCTTAGTTTTGCTTCAGAGAGCTTAGCCTGCTGCTCCTATGTGTAAATAATTAGTGTTAAAAATAGATTGTAGCAGCATACAACCCAAAGCAGCGATGCAGTCATCATTTGAGGACCTTATTGCCAAAATAAGCTTAGAGTAAAAGCTCAAAGATAAAAAAAAAATGATGCATGGATTAAAAAAAGATGCGCAGTAGGATTTCCAGATATGTAGAAACACAAATAATATATTATATTTTGTGATGTTTTTGGTTTTTAGGCAAGGTTGTTTTTATCTCAATAATATATCACACTATTATTGTCTTAACAAGTAGAACAATTATTTGTAATGTTAGTTAAAAATATATTAATGTAAAACATGAATGACCCCTGAAAACCTAAGCATTCTTTCACTACAATATAGAGCATATTGCTTTATACTTGGCCTATTAAATGTCCCTATTTCCACTTAAATTTTTATGGTTTGAATTAAAAGAAAAGCAATTACAATCAGTTATGGATAATCCGTGGTTATTTTCAGACGATTTCTAAATCTCAGTCTTACTTATATTTCTGGATCCAAAGCACATCTAATAACACAGATGTACTTGAAAGTTTCCATACAGTCACAATAAATAAAATGATTAATTCACAATACAAAAATGAATCTAAAATAATCAAAAATAGAAAAACCACTGTCCCAGGCAAATTAAAGTACCTTGCTGTTGAACTGTTAACCAACAAACCTGTCAATGTAGAAATCTCACTGAACATTTCCCGAATGTTACAGAAAACAGCTGAGTTCAGTGATTATTGCCTCAAAGTGTTGCTAGAAAAAATTAAGTTCAGAAAAACTGAAAAAGAAAAGATGAAATATCACATGGTCATAGGTATTCAGACCCTTTGCTCAGTTTTGAGTAGAAGCACCCTTTTGAGTTAGTACAGCCATTAGTCTTCTTGGGAATGACGCAACAATTTTTTCCCACCTGGATTTGGGATCCTCTTCCTTGTAGATCCTCTCCAGGTCTGTCAGGTTGGATGGTGAGCGTTGGTGGACGGCCATTTTCAGGTCTCTCAAGAGATGCTCAGTTCAGGGCTCTGGCTGGACCAGTCAGGAATGGTTATAGAGTGGTTCCCAATCCATTCCTTTGTTATCTTAGCTGTGTGCTTAGGGTCATTGTCTTGTTGGAAGGTGAACCTTCAGCCCAGTGTGAGGTCCTAAGCTCTCTGGAAAAGGTTTTCCTCCAGGATATCTCTGTACTTGGCTGCATTCATCTTTCCTTCAATTGCAACCAGTCGTCCTGCAGTTGAAAAACACCCCCATAGCATGATTCTGCCACCACCATGTTTCACTTTTGGGATTGTATTTGGGTGGTGATGAGCAGTGCCTGTTTTTTTACACACATACCGCTTAGATTTAACGCCAAAAGATCAATCTTGGTCTCATCAGACCAGAGAATCTGCTTTTTCACAGTCTGGGAGTCCTTCATGTGTGTTTTGGCAAACTCTATGCAGGCTTTCACATGTCTTGCACTGAGGAGAGGCTTACACCAGGCCACTATGCCATAAAGCCAAGACTGGTGGAGGGCTGCAGTGATAATTGACCTTTTGGAACTTTCTGCCATCTCCCTACTGCATCTCTGGAGCTCAGTCACAGTGATGTTTGGGTTCTTCTTTACCTCTCTCTCCGAGGCTCTTCTCCTATGATTACTCAGTTTGGCTGGACTAAGGAAGAGTTCTCATCATCCCAAACTTTTTCCATTTAAGGACTATGGAGGCAACTGTGCTCTTAGGAACCTTGAGGGCTGCAGCAAATTTTTTGTAACCTTGACCAGATCTGTGCCTGTCTCTGAGCTCCTTGGGTAGTTCCTTTGACCTCATAATTCTTCTTTGCTCTTACGTGCACTGTGAGCTGTAAGGTCTTATATAGACAGGTGTGTGTTTTTCCTAATCAAGTTCAATCAATTTAATTAAACACATCTGGACTCCATTGAAGAAACAGAATCATCTCGAGGGGGATCACAGTAAAGGGTCTGAATACTTATGACCATGTGATATTTAATTTTTTCTTTTTTTAATGCCTTTGCAAAAAATTTCTACATTTCTGTTGTTTCCATCAAGATGGGGTGCTGAGTGTACATTAAAGCTGAAGTCTGTAAGTGTTTAAAAATCACTTTTTTGTCATATTGGCTAAAACTGTCCTTATGCCCAGACATCAGTACATGTGATATATAACCTGTGAAAAAAACTGCTTCAATTGGTACCGCCTACTGCCTGTATTTCAATCTGGAAAGAATAATTCGGGACGAGTCAAAACAACCAATCACAGCCAGAGGAGCGTCTGATGGAGTGTCAATCACAGCTCACACACACTGAATCTATATATTATAATAATATTATATATATAACATATCAATATCATTAATTCTTTTTTTTATTACTTTTGTTAATTTCAATTTACTTCACTTGCAGCTGATTTTTTTCTGTCTTTGATGGAAGGCAGTGTAAACTTTCAAGCACAACCGTATAACCTGCTGCTTGTGCCATGGGGGAAATCAGCTTCAGTAAAAATGATGGCATCACTGGTTGATGCCATCCCTAGAGTTTTCCCCTAATATTATTCCTTTTATAATTGAAGAGCTTTCATTTCCTGCTAATTTTTGAGATAACCATCAATAAGGTTCACAGCTTCAGAATTTGCTGATGGTTTCTTATTTAACCTCCTTCACTGTACAAACCTAATGGAGAAAAATGCTTTTAGAGTGAAATGATTTTTTTTTTTTTTTTTACTAAATTACATAATTGCCTCTTGATTTAACAGCACAATTAAAGATCATTTTGACAAATGCAAAACAACTGAGAGTAAAAAACAAAACAAGGGTGATTTACTTCCAAGGTAGCAATGTATTTGGTATCACAAATTTTACTACGATTTGCTGGATTAAACCCACCTAAACGTGATGCATTAGACCTCCTTAGATATGCTGATGTTTTCCTTATAGACTGCCCAACTAAATTCCAATTTTAATCACCCCTCTAAGTATCTAAGAAGAGGCAAAAAAGATGATATGTGAAGATGAAATGGAATTGGATCTACAGAGTTTAAATTTATCTTTTAAGCCATGTTTAAAAACCAGAAGAGTGTTTTTGGTTTGATTAAACCTCAGGTATATTTATATCCAATTCAAATGGGGGAAATCTGATTAAACTTTCCTCTGATTCTGCTGGTGAAACTGTAACTTAGGATGTTAATCATGTAATTATGCGTCATCAAGGCTTCGAAACTTTGGTGAGAGTCTTGACATTTTGCCTGTTTGCCTGTCTGTCTGAGTGACCTTTTTAATCCGCTGATGGCGATGAGCGGAGGACAGTGTGGCAGAGAAACAAGGGCCGGGGCATTGGTACAAAGAATCGTGTGAAACTCTGAGTCATTTGTCAATCTGTACCGTGGATCTATTTGCCCCAGCTGCCTCCCGATCTGTCTGTTCGGCAGTTTTGTCTATCTGCTCCAGGGGCCTCTGCGGGGAATGGAGGTTGGAGAAAGTATGCACATCCGTCAGTCATTCTTTGGCCTTTCCGTACCCTGCCTACATACTGCTGATGGATATCTGTGTGTAGCTATATGTGTCTGTGTAAATGTACCACATTGGCATCTTTTCTGACCATCTGCTTCTCTCTCTAAAACAAACAAACAAAAAAATGTTAGAACTCTAAATTTACAGTCATTTTTACTATTTTTCAAGGCTGCACTTTTAAAAAGATGATACTGTCCAGTGAGCTGTTTCCAAAAGACATTTCTTTTTGTTTTACACTTGTGTAAACAAAATGAAAAAAAAAAAAATCTGTCTAAAGTCCATCCATCCATTATCTGACACGCTAGGCGGGGTACACCCTGGACAGGTCGCCAGTCCATCGCAGGGCAACACAGAGAAATAGTCCAAACAACCATTCACACACACACCTAAGTAGAATCTAGAGAAGCCAATTAACCTAACAGTCAAGTTTTTGGACTGTGGGAGGAAGCCGGAGTACCCATGTTTTCCCTGAGAAATGCTCAGGGAAAACATGCAAACTCCATGCAGAAAGACTCGATCAAAACCTTCTTGCTATGCTACCCACTGTGCCACTAAGCAGCCCTGTCTTAAGTCTAAAGTCAAAAGTCTAAAGTCTATTGTAGTTTTTCTACTTTTGATTGAGTTTCATCAGAAGTTCATCAATAAATACATGTAAATCAGTGCTCATGTTTACAGAGACAATTAAAATCCAATGAGCTTTTTGTGTCTGTGTACTGTATGTGTGTAAGACAAATCAAAATTCACTTGCTACTCTGCAAAAAATGGAAATCTAAATAAATAATTTATTTAGATTTTTCATTAAGGAGGTAAGTGAGACACTTTGCCAATGGAACAAGACAATTTACATTTAAAATAAGAAAAAAATATTTCTTTGTCTTATTTCAAGTGCATATTATCTAATTATCTTATTTTAGTGGAAAAAAATACCAATTTCATTAGCAAATCATCTTATTTACTTACTCATATTAATGGTAAATACATTTAATTTAAGAGTTGTACTTTTACTTATTTCTAGATGATTTTTACAGTGTACAAAATTCACT